TTTTAAGCCTTATAGCCTGTATTTCTCTGATTGCCTTGCCCATTTTAATTTTCAATATGGCGCCTGTCCTGAATTATTCGATGGTCTCTGTGAGGAAAATCCGTCACGCATGCGCACTTGAAATTTATACACCAAAAAAGGTTTGCCGGCTACAGACCATCGTCCAACTGATAATAGCAAAGTTACAGTCAGTTACCGCCAAAACAATGAAAATTTCAATAATTTGACCTTCAATGACAATGTCATTAATGAATGAAGGTCAAGGTCTTTCGGTATATTTTTAACAGTAATCTTTGAAGATTATTATGTTCAAGTTTCAGGACAATCCATTCAAAAATAACAAACTTACAGCCAATAAAAGCCAAAAAAATGAAAATTTCAATAATTTGACCTTCAAAGTCAAGGTCATTTATGAGTGAAGGTCAAGGTCTGGCTGGTTATTTTTAAGGGATATCCTTAAAGATTATTATGTTCATGTTTGAAGACAATCCATTCAAAAATAACAAAGTTATGCACCTGTCAATATTTTGCCCTACCAGGGGGGCGGCGGGCATACACGGGGCTTTAGACAGAAGACCATTCCTGACAGGCGGGAATTTGACAAACTTATGGAATCCGGGTCCCGGGTAATAGACTTTGGCCGGTTTTTAAATCCCGGGACTCGGGAATTTCGACGCCACAAAATGAAAAAGGGGAGTAACTGCGAAAAGGTCAAAAGACGACGGCGATATTTTTATTTGTGTTTTTGAAGTTGCAGACATGAAACTTTTCGATTTTTTCTACAGTCCTAGAGAAAATTGTGGGATAAGGCGAGAAGGTTGCCCCAGAATTGGGATTTATTTGCAAAGGTATACAGGGATTGTATTCTTCATTTGTTTTCTACCCAGACACTATGTGGAGCCTAGCGGTTTCATGTTTGTCATCTGTTTTCGCGAATAGACCCATTTATTTTGCGAGTCTGAAAGGCGTTGGAAATCACTTGAAACTGACACATATCTCGTATTAATAATACAAAATCCACAAAAGAACGTTCACTTTGCCTGTAGAATATAAACGATTACAGCAGAAAATGTCGTATTGATTGAGATAATCCCTTTAACTGCAGTATGAATGAACTGATCAAGTGACTCAAAACGGTTGTTGAATACATACACACAGAATTATGTTATTAATTATTCACTTCATAATTATTTTAACACCTATGCTACCAGTGTAGATCCTGATCAGCTTGCACATCCATGCAAGGGAGTCAAAATCCAAAGGCTGAAGTCACGGGACTCCAAGTCAGTAGTTCCCGTGAGCCTTGTTAGAATCAGAGACATAGAGATAAGCAGCTCTTATATACTCAATTGAAATATCACTCATGCCTATCAAAAAGTGAAAAATTAGGCATTTTGTAGCAAATAAAACTTAATGGATGTACATTTGATCCTTAAATATTATATACCATTTCTTTGAAAGGTAAATCTTTCATCTATGACTGCATGTTAAAATTTTGATAACTTTTTATGCCTTTCCCTTGGCAGAACATACCCACTGAGCCATTTTGTTTGTCATAAATAGTTTTGTAACAAAATATATCAAGAAGTTCTCTTTAAAAAATGATGTAACATTTATTTTAATGGGAACTGTAAATATTTTTACCTGCAGGCTGCAGCAATAGACAAATGCATAAGTTTTCAGAAAATGTATAATTTTACTGATTTTGATATCTGGTTAATAAGTTTTACTTGCTACAAGTTTTAAGTTTAGCAGGCACGCGTGATATTTTAACTGGCTAGGAAGAGCCTATCTCTGTTATCTATGTCTCTGTTAGAATATGATTTTTAATAAAGTAAGAAAATTCATTTAAATACAATGTATGTCAAAACAGATCTAAATAAAATAATAATATCCTTTTTTCAGATGTATTACCATCATTGTTTTTTATCATTTACTGTTTCAACTGCTTGTCATAACGAGGCTTTGAATCTTGGCTGTCGGTTTCATTTTCATTGGTCTTGTATTGCTTTACGGTCGTGACTTTCTCTAATAAAAAGTAAATTGAATCTGCAGAAACTATGTTAAGGCTTTGTTGTTATCTGATAAATGTGAATGTATTAAAATGTTGATTTATATTTAAACAGGTGAACATTTGGTTGGACCATTTGACGAGTGTTTCTGCCAACAGAAAAAAGGGGCAAGGCAAAGGCGTCCGAGACACAGTCTTTGAAAAAGGTATTCAGGCACAATGACATTATGAGTTGAATTTCATAAATGATTGCCTCAACGTTAAATGAGTCTGAGGCCAAAAAAAACCTCTTTTTTCTGAAAGCCATACAAAACATATAAGGGGTATTGCACTTCTGTGGTCTAAATACTAGTATGTGTATTTTATCATTGACATGGTGGGGAATGATTGATATGGTGACCTGTGACGTAAAATGGTATCTTAAAGTCCCATTATGCATTTGTAAACTTTATTTGAAATAAAAAAATATTCAGTTTCACACCAATGACATCAAGTAGAATTCTGATGTAAAAATTTGCATTTGATTTCTTACAGACATGAAAGAAAATCTTCAAAATACGCTATAAATATATTGCGCTCATGTAGCGCAAATGTAATAATTGGAGGTATGTTTTGATGAAAAAATAATTTCTGAAGAATAGTAATGCGGAAATGAGCCATTTTCTTCAATATGAGGATAAGTATGATATGTCTATTCAGTAATTGAAATTTTACTCACAAAAGCATTATGTTCCTTTAAACTTAAAAATTCTCCTGAAAAAGCACAATATTGTTTATAATGTCGCTGGGGGCTATTGCAAGTCCTGTCAGTTACGCATACTCCAAAATATTTTCTGTTAAACAAAGATATTGACAAAAATTCTCACATGGACACCAGAATCTGAAAGATTATCAATTGCTGCAATACCATGTCATGTGGTCTCCATATCACGTGATTCCCCACCATAATTGCAAGATTAGTTTGATAGACTTAGTACCAGCAGAATTGTTAGAAAATAATATGTTTTCAAAAAAACAAAACAAAAAACAAAATTCGGAACCATTTTTGTTCCAATAGAATTAAAAACAACCTACTGTTTTATCTATCAAAAATATATGTTAGAAATCTTTGTTAAGTTGTGCTACTAAATTATTAGTTTTTAAACAATCCAGGTTCAAGCTTCTATCCAGGCCCAAGCTCCTATCAAGGTTCAAGCTCCTATATATCCCGACTCAAGCTCCCATCCAGGCTCCTGCTCCTATCCAGGTTCTTGAGGAAAGTGCACCAGATTGTGAGTACACCATGCAACTTAGCTTAAGAAAATTATGTCAGTTCTTTTTGTAGCTTTGTGTTGAGCTATAATTGTCGTTTCTCCATGAAAATTGGTCAAAATGTTTGGCTGAAATCTCGGCAAAGTTCAAGGTTGGGTCATGTGGGGTCAAAGACTATGTCACTAGGTCAAATCTTAGAAAAAGAATGCAAACACTTTAGAGGCCACATTTTTGGCCCATTTTTCATTATTGTTAGTGTAAATGTTCAACTTGATGAAATCTAGAACATGTTCAAAATTAAGTCATGAGTGGTCAAAAATTAAGTCACTAGGTCTAATCTTAGAACATTTTTGGTCTAATTTAAATGAAACTTAATAAATTTGAAACCTTAAAGATTATAAAAATGCCCTCTATTTCAGAAAAACAATGTGGAAGTTTCCAGGTTTGGCCGCAGGAGGAGGAAGAATGTCTTTTTAATGACTTTTTGTGTTAAATGTTAAAATAAAATTAGAAGTTAAAGTGTTGTAAGTTTATAGCTCATCTGAGCTGTTAGCACGAAGCTATTGTAATCATGACCGGTGAATGTCTGTCTTCGCAAATCTGGTGTCCTCAACTTTTAGTGTTTTAACACTCTAAGAGGCCACAGATATGGTTCAATTATAATTAAGCTTGGTCAGCATGCTAACCATCCCTACAGAAACTGGGTCATGTGGAGTCAGAAACTAGGTTAGTAGGTTTATTTTGTAGCTAAACTATAAATGTAAAATATTAAAGAGCTTATATGATCGATTGTGTGTCCGTGTTCGCATTGGTTTAAGTTTTTTAAGTCATACATTCTATTCTATGAAAGATATTTAATTGAAACTAGGTACGGTATTTAGTGGGACTACCACTTCCATACTAAGAAGGTCTATAACCTTGATGCATTATTTTCAGAACTATGCCCCTTTATTACTTGAAAATACCCATTTTTATAAAAAGAAAATATAAGTATCTTCAAAGTCTAATTATTTGAATACTATCAAAGTTATTAAACTACAATTGATTGATACATATATATTCATTGGGAGTGACTATACCTACCTTACTTCTGAGGCCCTTAATCCGGATTCATTATTTTCCTAATGATAAGCCTTTGTACTTATATTTTTCATTGTTTTTCTGATTACAGTTTTATTTATTGATTGATCTATTAGATATTTACCCTCTCCCCTACCCCGGGGCATTTGATGCACCAAGTAGGCTCAAGGGTGGGGATTTAGACAAAATTGGTTATCTCTAGGGTGGGGATTTAGACTTCAAACATTTTAAAATGTCAAATTCCCCTGGGTCAGCCCGCCGCCCCCCTGGGCGGGCATAATATTGATAGGTGCATTACAGCCAATAACAGCATGAACAAGCAAAAATTGGACTTTTAACCTTGAAGGTCAAGATCATTTATGGATGAAGGTCAAGGTTAGGGTGGTTTACTGAAAGGTCTTGTCCCAAGGGTTGTTGTGGCCAAGTATGAAGACAATACACAAAGAAATAAAAAAGTTATGATCCAGGTACAAGTTTTCGGACGGCAACGGCAACGGCTACGGCAACGGCAACGCCGACCTGACTATAACAATATCTCTATTTTAAAAAAAAAAAAAAAAGTCGAGCTAAAAATGACCTCACCTGTCAATCAGATAGACAACTTTACAGTCCCTTTTGGCTTTAATTACCCTTTTTAGAACTTTTCATCGCTTTGAATCACTACCAGAGTATATCCTTGATTGAATTAAATCACAGTTTCTTTCCACTTTTCGCATTTTCCTTAACCAATCTCAAAATTTCTTTCTCGTATACGTGACACACCTTTCGTATTGTCCGCCATTAATATTTATCAATCACGTGACTCAGATCCGAACATTGGTAGCAAGACATCTCACCCACCAGACACTTCACTCCTCAAATTTCGAAGACACTCCACCTCTTAAGACACTTCATCCCCCAAAATCAGTAACACACTTCACTCCAATTTTTTTCTATAAAGTAAATAAAACAAGTTGTCAACAACAAAATGCGTATATATGTTTATATTTATTATATTTTTTAGTATTATTTGATTAAAATTTTTGCTTATTACCTTTATTTTTACTAAGTTTAAAGCTGATATAGGTTAATTGGTTGTATTGCCATATGATATATCACAGCACTTTCATCCATTAATTGTTTATTGCATGTCATCTTGTTTATTCAACATGTTGATTAGTTGTTTATTCAACGGTTATCTCACAATTGATTAGATAATTGAATTAAAATGGTATAATTGTATGAAAATTAAATTTATTTTCTTAATAAATAAATTAAATAAAGAAATACATAAAATAAATATAAATGAATATGAATGAATAAATTGGTTGCTTTATATGCTTTAATGGTAACATTCAGTGATGTAACTCAAGTTCATTATATACTAAGCCAAGCAACAAAACAGAAATAAATAAAAATAATCTAAAAGTAATAAGTAAAGAATACAAACAAAATATCAATATTGCACACAAAGAACACAAAAATAAAAGAATTGAGAAACTTAGAAATGCCAAAAGTACAAGCCCAAGAGAATACTGGAAAATAATTAACTCTATTGATCAATCTAAAAATGCAACTAAGGCTACTCTTCATGACCTATATGATTTTTTCAAAAAGACAAATGAAGGAGAAAACATAGAAGATAATTCAATAGATTCAGAAACTGTTATAGAAGTAAATGAAGAAATAAATACAGAAATCACTGATGAGGAAATAAAAAAAAGCAGTTAAACTACTTCAAAAACAATAAAAGTCCAGGATGTGACTATATTTTAAATGAACACATTAAGTCAACTATTGATACAATGCTTCCAATTTATAACAAATTATTTAACCTTGTTTTTGACTCTGGATTAATTACCATCCAGCTGGACAAAAGGCTTGTAATATTACCCATTTATAAAAATAAGGGAAATGCCACTCAGCCTGAAAATTATAGACCAATCACTTTATTAAGTTGCTTAGGTAAATTATTTACTGCCATATTGAACAATAGAATTTACAAATTACACTGAAGACCATAACATTATAACCAAATGCCAAGCAGGATTCCGCAAAAAATCACTCAACTACAGATAATTTATTTATATTACAATCTTTAATTGATATTCTAAGAACACAAAAGAAAAAAATATACTGTGCATTTATTGATTTTAAACAAGCATTTGATACTGTCTGGCGGTCAAGGATTATGGAATATAAACTCATTAAATACAATGTAAAATGGCAAATTTTTTTAAAAATAGTCAAAAAAGTATGTATGAAAACACATTAAAAATCATGTGTAAAAATTCCCAAGGTGTTCTGACTTTTTCCCAAGTCTAATCGGAGTAAGACAAGGCGCAAAATTTGTCGCCGATACTATTTTCACTTTATTTAAAATGACCTTGAAACTTTTCTATCAGATAATAATGCAAATGGAATTAAGCTTCAGCATCTTCTGAACTTAACCTTTCAATTTACTCTCAAACTCTTTGTTATTCTATATGCTGATGACACAGTGTTATTAAGTGATTCACAACCAAGGCCTACAAAAAGAGCTAGAACTATTTCGAACAATACTGCACAAAATGGAAACTTACAGTCAACACCTAAAAAACTAAAATAATCATTTTTGGATCAAGAATTGTAAATTAACCTTCCAATCTTTACTTATGGAATAAAGAAATAGAAATTGTAAATGAATACAAATACTTAGGACTCTATTTTCAAAACCTGCAGCTATAAAAAAACCAAAGATCACATTGCTAAACAGCAACAAAGGCCATGTATATTTATTAAAGAAAAATAAACACAACTGA